GAGCCGGAGATCGTGCCCGAGTCCGCGGCCCAGTCCTGGTGCGGACCCCAGCCCTCGGCCCCCGCGGCAGCCGCTTCGTCTTCACTGCTGTGACTCGGAGCGTTCCCCATGGAGTCTCCGTCTCGGGCGCCCGGCTGTGCCGCCGCCGCCGCCGCCGCCTCCCCGCCTCGACCTGTCAACCTCCGGCGGCACCGGGCGGGCGGGGACGGGGAGGGGACGACGGCGGCAGAGGCTTCCGGCTTCCTCGCCGTCAAGCGAGGCCTGCTGTCGCAAAGGCGCCGTCAAGCGGACTCAGGCAGATGCCGTAAGACAGAGAGCGGAGGACGGCTTGAGCAGGGGGTGGAAACCCGATTTCCCAGAGGGCGAGTCCGTCCTAACGTCTACGTCATCCCGCAGCCTCCTTTGCCGCCATCTTTGTTGGGGGCGGCAACGGCGTGGCCGAGCCTTCGGCGCTGACACTCTCGCTCTCCACGTTCACTACCTACGCTGAAAAGAAGCGAAGCCAGGGAGTGGAGCCGGGGAGTGGTCTTTCGCCGAAGCCGTTCTCCCTTCAGTACCCCGTTGTCCCCTGGGGGGCGCGGGCGGGACGACGGGGCGTCGCGCCGGTGACGTCCGCCGGTGGCGTCGCGCGTGCGTCGCCGCCATCTTGGCCGCGGAGGGCGGGGCGGCCGCCTGCGGTCTGCATGCTGAGGCTCGGCGGGCGTGGGCTCTTGTTGGGCCTAGCCGTCGCGGCGGCGGCGGCGGCGGCGGCGGCACGGTGGATGGGCTGGTGGAGCGGCCGCGCTGGCCTTCGCCTTTTCGTCCCCGAGGAGCTGGCCCGCTACCGCGGCGGCCCCGGGGACCCGGGCCTCTACTTGGCGTTGCTCGGCCGCGTCTACGATGTGTCCTCCGGCCGGAGGCACTACGAGCCGGGGGCCCACTATAGCGGCTTCGCAGGTATCAGCGAGGGGCCGGTGCCGCCTGCGTCGTTCGCCCGTGCACTCATCCATGCGCTTGTTCGTTCGTCCATTCATTCATTCCTACGCCCTTTTCTCCGCACAGTCATCAGGCTGATGCGGGGGCCGTGCTCGGCTGCACCGTCCCGCGGGGGTCGAACGCCCGGGCGGGACGGTGGCCCGCTGTTAGCAGCCCAGCCCGTCCCCTCCCTGTCTTTCCCGGGCGTTCTTTGCGACGAAGGTTCGAGAAACAGGCTTCTGGCCGCTTGTCTGTTACCCACCGGCCGGGCAGAAGCCCCCGGACAGGTGCTCCGCGCCACACTGCGTGGCTCAGCGCGCGGCGATGCGTGGGCCGGGTCCCTGCCCGCAGGGGTCCCCTACGGACTCCAGTCATCTCTTGAGGGTGTCCCTGTCCGAGTTTCCCCGAAAAATAGTACGCTTGGTGTGAGTCGTTCTTGTTTCTGGTACAGACGCGCTTACGTCCGTTAAGGACGATCAGGTTAGAGCACAGCAAAGGTCTGGGCACCTTTACGGTCTGTCAGAACTTCGGAGAAAGCTGCACGTATGTTAGGCCTGGACCGTTTGTCAAACGAAATTTATTCTGCTGTCCTGTTCCGTAGTTGAGGGCGTTGGCGAATGGGATTCGTTGACGGGCTTTGGACCAGGACCACCAGCCTGTCCAACCAGGCTGGAGGGATAACCATGTCCCAGGTTGGATAGGAACAAACAAATGCTGAGCTTAGGGCCCGCGACTAGGCTAATGTTAAATAAGCACTTTGCATTTGTCGTCGTCTCAGAGTTGGGAAGCTGCCTCTGGTACTTAAATGCAAGTCACCTCCCGTCTCTGGGGAGAACTTCAGAAATGGAAGCCTTGACAGAGAAGGAACTCGGGTCAGTTGGTGTTGCCAAGCTCCTCAAACAGCCCAGCAAGGACAGGAGCTTACCCGGAGCTACACGGTGATCTGGAAGCAGAGCTGGGCCTGGCGTCAGGGTTCATTCACCTGCCCGTGGAGGGCAGTCTGCAGTGCACAGCCCCACGCCACCCTGGCGTAGCTGCCCCAGCAGGATGCACGAGCGTGAACGTGAAACCTTTCATCCCCGGGGCACTGTTCTTTGCAGTGTGCTCTGGCGCCTGCCGAGCTCCTCTGTGCCCGTCGTACACTCACATCTATGCACTGACCCCGGCTACGCAGCCTGCCGTGTGCCAGGTGCTGAGGAATCAGAAATCCGTGCTCCCCACCACCCGCACAGCCTCGGAGGGAAGCAGAGATGTGCACTCATGCAGTCGATACTTGTACTATTGTCTATTAAGATATAATTCACACAATGTAAAATCCACCCTTCTAAAGTATGCACTTCAGTACTTTTTAATACAGTTAGAAAGTTGTGCAAACATCAGCATCCTCTAGTTCCAGGCATTTTATCACCCCCAAAGAAACCCCATATCCGTTAGCAGTCACTCCCCAGTCCCTCCTACCCCTCAGCCCCTGGCAGCCTCTGTCCACTTGCATCTGAGGATTTGCCTGTTTGGACTTTTCATACAAGTTGGAATCATACATGAGGCCTTTTGTGTCTGGCTTCTTTCACTTAGCGCAGCATTTTCAAAGTTTGTCCAGGCTGCATCGTCACGTATCAGTGCTGCATTCCGCTTTGTGGCCAAGTAATATTCTGTTGAATGTATATACCACATTTTGTGTATTTAATCATCATTTGTTGGGCGTTTTGGTTATTTCCATTTTTGCCTATTACGAAAACACGGCTATGAACGTACATGTGCACATTTTTGTTTGGACCTATGTTTTCACTTCTCATGTAGTAATGCTTGTGTTTCGCTTTTTGAGAAACTGCCAAGTTATTTTCTAAAGTGGCTGTACTCCTACCATCAATGTAGTAGAGTTCCAGTTTCTCCACATTCTCGCCAAACTGGTCATCTTTTTGATTATAGTCATTTAGTGAGTTTGATGTGGTAGCCCATTGTGGTTTTGGTTATTTGCATTTCCCTAATAACTATGATGTTGAGCATCTTTTTATGTGCTTGTTGACCGTTTGTGTATCTTCCGTGAAGAAAGGTCTGTTCAAATCCTTTTCTGTTTTTTAATTGGATTGTCTTTGTACTTTGAGTTGTGGGAGTTCTTTGTATACTCTGGATACTAGGCCCTTATCAGATCCATGATTTGTGAATATTTTCTCCCCTTTTCACTTTCTTGATAGTGTGCTGTAGTGCACACATTACAAAAAAAAGATTTTTTAAGATTTTATTTATTTATTTGACAGAGAGACACAGCGAGAGAGGGAACACAAACGGGGAGCGGGAGAGGGAGAAGCAGGCTCTCCCACTGAGCAGGGAGCCCGATGCAGGACTCGATCCCAGGACCCCGGAATCATGACCCGAGCCGAAGGCAGACGCTTAACGACTGAGCCACCCACGCACCCCCAAAATTTAAAAATTTTGATCGAGTTTATTTTTTCTTTGTTAGCTTGTGCTTTTGGTGTCCTATCTAAGAAACCATCACCTAATCCAAGGGCACAAACATTTACACCTATGTTTTCTTCTAAGAATTTTACAGTTTGAGCTCAGACATTCATGTCATTGATCTATTTTGAGTTAATTTTATATATGTTGTGAGGTAGGGGCCCATTTTCATTCTTCTGCATGTTGCTATCCAGTTGTCCAAGCACCATTTGTTGAAAACACTATTCTTTCCCCCTTTGAATTATTGAAATAATTGTTGAGAATTGACTTACTGAAAATCAACTGTAAATGCATGGGTTTCATTCAGCCAATATTTATTGATAATTACTAAAGACTAGGCACTACCAGACACTGGGGAATCAATACTGAGTTTGGTGTGTTCTCTGCCCTGATAAAACTTGCAGACTAGTAGAAAAGGCAGACATTAGATAGTTATTACATCAACAATGAGTTATTTTGTGACAAGTGTTAAAAGGAAGACATACTTGTGTTAACATCTGTCCCAGCGAGGGGAGATGAGCTTTCCCTGGAGATGGGGATTAGGGGTTTCCAGATGATTCTCAGAAAATAGGTTCTTGAGTTGGTACAGTGCCAGCGATTTACGAGCTCATCTACTTGGAAACCTGTCTCCTGCAGGCCGGGATGCATCGAGGGCGTTTGTGACTGGGGACTACTCTGAAGCAGGCCTGGTGGACCATGTAGCTGACTTGTCGTTTTCGGAGGTGCTGACCCTTCAAAATTGGCTTTCATTCTACGAGAAGAATTACGAATTCGTTGGTAGGTATTCCACAGGTCGTTTCCATAGATTCTATTCAGTTGTCCTGCAATTTTTTAAAGGAGTTAGAGTTCTTTGGGGATTGGACTCAAGGTTAAAATCCGTACAATACCCATGAAATTTTCCCCTTAAACTCTGGTTGTTAGTGTGGCCGTGAGTCCCCGAAGGAAGTGTTTGGGGCACTTGTTTCTCTCACTCATACTCTTGGGAGAGCATGATCCTGCTGTTTGCTTTGGCCTCTGTGGCCCCAAAGCCAGGAGTTGCCTGCCACACCTTGAACCACCAGCTCCAGGAGCCTCGCTGGGTCCCAGGCATTGGGCTTCAGCACCCAGTCGGGAGGGCTCGAGGCCTACATTTGTGTGCAGTTTTGACAGATACTCTTACTTAGCCCTGTAGGGAGACCAGCATTAGTCTGTGTCCATCCCAAAGGAACTGTCTCCCAGACACTTGTTAAAGCCAGTGGTGCCGGGCAAGCAAGGAGGGAATCACCTTTGAAATAGAAAGACACCTAACAGTGTCCCAAAGAAACGTTAGACTCTAAACACTAGAGTGCTTTGTAAACACTGAAAATTGGGTTGGTTGGGGCCCTTTTCCCTCTGTGGAGCCCAACTGGACCCGCTGGCTGCCTGGGGAACATCAGTGCTCCTCACCACCAGAATGGGTCTCGGTTGGGAGCGTTCCATCTCTGCCCCTAGCACCTCTGACTGTCTGCTCTGTCTTGACCACTTGGGTTACCTTTTCTGAGAACCTTGGCCTTTGCCCGAGCTCCTCCGCTCCCTCCACATCCAGCTGACTAGAACACCCACAGTTCTTTCTGCGTCCAGCCCCCCCCACCACACACACTTGTTGGCTCCTGCCCTCCCGGCCTGCACACCCCCTTCTGGGTTTTCCTCCGGGCTGTCCCGGGCCATTCCTGACACCACAACCACGTCTGCACTGAACGGACTGAGAGCTCTCTGCAGACCTTCAGGAGGCTGGGTTCTCCCTTTTTCCCGGGAGGTTGGTTGAAATATTACCAGGTTAATAAGGAAAAGAAATCCTAACACAAAAGAAAAAGAATAGAGCCCTGAGAGTGGGCAAAGACTGCCAGACCAAACATGTCATCCTGATATTTGGGGAGCAAACTGCTGTGTTTGAACAGTGTTAGCGTATGTGTGTGAGCGTCGGGGAGGGACTGTAGTCAGTCAGCATGTATTTGAATACCTACTCTGGGTAAGTGATGGTTCTGGTCCTCATGGGGACCAGACCAGGGATGAGTTGAATGCAGGTCCTGCCCTCTTTTGGCTCGTTCTATAGGAGGTGGGCTATGTTAGGCTCTTTCGGGCCCAGTAAAGCCCCATCAGAGGAGGAAGTGAAGACAGGAAGCCATCTCGGCAGCTAGTGGCCAAGCCTCACAGGCAAATGAGATGTCTTTGTCTTCTGGATACAGTGTTGGCTTGGAGACCCAGCCGGTGGTGACCGCCATTCTCACGACACAGCTTCTCCAGCTCTTTCTCTGTTGCCTCTATGACTCCTCCCTCTCTGTGGGTCTCATGTCTAAAACTCAGCACTACAGGCTTGTCGCTGTGCACAAAGAGACCCTCTAGGAGGAAGTTTTCTGCTAGATCAACTCAGAGGCTGCGCCCTGATCCCCTCATATATTCTAATAAGCACGGAAAGTGAATGCTCTGTACTGGGCTGTTTTGAGTGCTGGGGCCTCACTGGGTGGGCAGGAGAGACATACATAAACAAGTAAACCGACCACACAATTCCAGTTGGGACTGAGTGTAAATAAAGCGGATTGATGTGTGTGGGGGGTGTGGTATGTGGCACTTTTGAGCAGATGGTCAGGGGAGGCCTGTTGGAGGGGATAGTAGGTGAGCAGAGACCGGGATGTGAGGAGCCAGTCAGACTGAGGTCTGGGAAGAGAGTATTCCAGGCTGAGGGAACAGTGCCGGGACGGGGAGCAGCTAAGCACGGTCAGCAGATAGAAAGGAAGCCAACGTGCAGGCTGTAGTTTGGGTGAGAAATGGAGAAGGTGGCCAGAACCGCGGTGTCTTCTAGAGGCCGGCCGGACGAGATTTGCTGTTGGATGGACATGAGCACAGGAAAGTGTATGTTGTATACGAAGGAGCAGCAGCTCCTAATCCAGGTCACAAGAGTGACGTAAACAGAATTGGACCAGTCGGGATGGTTGGACGTGAGGGGGGACGAAGCTGCCCCTGGTGGCCCAGTAGTGCAGGGCTCAAGGCCGCTCAGGCACCTGCTCCTCTTGGCCGGCCCTTCCAGAAGCACTTTCTGCCGCTGCTTCCTGTGGCAGGTGCTGCGGGAAGGGGCCTGCACATCAGGACTCAGAGACGAAAGTCCCTGCCCCAAAGGAGAGCTGACCCCTCTGGCTCAGGCCTGCAGGTTCATGGACCCCTTGCTGTTTCCATTCAGTTCGTGCACCGCAGGACTGAGGGAGAGAGGATGGTGGAGGGAGAGTGTGGGCGCCAGCTTCAGAGCCCTCCCAGCTACTCAGCCTCCCTGTCTCTCTCCTAGGTTGCTCTGAGGGTTTGCAGGATGTTGGTGAAGCACAAGCATAGCACCTGACCCTGAGTAAATGTTCAATAAATGACTTACTGATAGTTCTACAAGACAAAATCGTTTCACTTTGGGAAGAACTGAGCCACAAAAGTGTGACCCAATAAGCCAGTCATTTGTCATACGTTTATGGAACACGTCCCGCGTGCCTCCAGCACCGTGGAGCGCCGAGGAAGGAATTACATGCAGTTCTGCCCTCCAGGAAGCGCTGTCTGCATGTGGGGAAGGGTGGGCGGCCTCCGTATGGGGGAGTCCGCAGCTAGAGCAGTCTCGCTTCTATGTGGGGTCTTGTCAGACGTCAAGGGGTTCTTAGTCCTGAGCCAGAAACCCTGGGAGCTTGGGTTTCACCGTGGAGGTGACCGAGACCCTGACATCAGCTGTCCCGTCACCACAGGAAGGTTGATAGGACGGTTCTACGGAGAGGACGGCCTCCCTACGCCGGAACTGACCCAGGTGGAAGCCATGATCAGCCGAGCCTCGGAGGCGGGCCGGCGGGCACTGGAGGAGAAGCAGACGTTCCCACCGTGCAATGCCGAGTGGAGCTCCAGCAGGGGCAGCCGGCTCTGGTGTTCCCCGGAGAGGTACACAGGCTTCCCTCCCACACGTGACTCGGTGACACCATAACCCAGCTGTCCACCCAGGGGGACTCTTTGAAAGTACAGGCGTTCTGGGTAGCGAGGCTCAACTGGCTACGTGTCCGAGGCTTCTGGGGCCCCTGACAACCAGGTGAGATGAGGGTGGGGACCCGGGCGTGTGTTTTGCTTGCTTGCACTTCCCAAAGACCCTGGCCTGGGATGAGCAGGCCCAAGTACAGCTGCTCAGTTTGGCCTGTTGATCCATCCAAGGGCCTCTGTTCCCTCTTGTCTGCACAAATTCTGGCCGCCTACAGGGACGAGGAGGCGGGGCCGGCCCGCGGCACGAAACATGGCCATTGCTGAGTGTTTCCGAGAAGCCCTTTCCCGTAGAAATAAAGTGAGGGGAGCCCGATTAGGGTAGACGCCCCAGAGATTATTCCCGGGTTGTTTGGGGGGCAGCTGGAGGAAAAACGGGTGTTTAATCATCAGGCCCTCAATCCCCTTAACTCTGATGCAGAGGATGGGACCCCCCCCCCCCGGCACACACAGCAAGCTTCAAGGGCCTCAAGTACAAGCTCAGCTCTCCCTGAGAAGCAGGAGATCCCCTTCCTCAGGTGTAAGCTGTGTACGTCCACCCTCTTCTGTGCGGAGAGGCCTTCTTGCTCTCCTTGTGCAGGCGAGAGCCAACAGCCAAAGCTGCTAGCTTTCCCCAGGCCCAGCCCGTGTCCATCACATTTCCTCCACCTTAATTCAGGGAGCAGGTGTGGAAGGGGCAGGAAGGAAAGCTCCTGTCCAGTTTTGAAGAGACAGGGCCTGGTCTCCAGAAAGAGGGGCTCGGGGAACCTGGCCTGCCCACCTGAGGGCCTGTTTGCCGGTCTCGGTGGCCCCCTCTGGCCTCACTGCCTTCCCTCCCCCGGCGAGTCCACCCTATCCCTGTGCCTCAGCCCGGTCTGTTTTAACTCCCTTTGGAAACGACAAAGGAGTCCTGAGTTCAGACAGGGACTGGGTGTGGAGTAAGGGGCAGGGAAGGAGTACGAGAGGCGCCAGGATGCAGTGGGAGATTGGAGCCAGACACTGTTTCTGAGACGCTCACGGGCCAGTAGGGGAGAGCCTTTCCCAGGTGTTCACAGTGCGGGGAAGTAGCGCTGGCTCCTGGGAAGGCACAGGGCAGGGCCCGGGAGCACTAGGACAGCGGGGGAAGCTGGAGGAAGTCAGGAGAGCCGGCAGGATTAGGGGACGCATGCTGCAGACCGCCGCCTTGGGAAATCGCCAGGTGGCCTACCCCGCTCCCCTCCCCAGAGACTCATGAGTTCCTGCTGGTAACACGTCCTTGTTCCTTCTGTCCTCAGCGGAGGTGTGAGCAGAGACTGGATCGGTGTCCCCAGGAAGCTGTACAAGCCGGGTGCCAAGGAGCCCCACTGTGTGTGCGTGAGAACAACCGGACCCCCTAGCGACCAGTCACCGGGCCTCCCTGCAGACACGAACCGTGGGGACTTGGACCACCCCAGCTTGGGGGAGTACACGGGCTGCCCACCCCTGGCCATCACCTGCTCCTTCCCGCTGTGAGCCCGTGCCCCAGATGGTGATAACCCACAGGGAACCCTGCCTGGAAGCACGCTGCCCACACTCTGCAAACATGGCCCACACCCCTCACCGAGGGCTCACCCTCCTGTGCCTGAGACCAGAGCGCGCCGGCCTGCCCGGTACCTGTCAGCCTGTTTGTGATCTACTCGCCATCCTTCTTCAGAGCCCTCAGACGGTAATGCGCGCAAATCTGACCAACTCAAAACTAACTGGGCTGCCATGCCCGACCTGTAACTCCCCACCCGGCTAGGGCACTGGGGGCACTGGCCAATCGGAGACAGGCAGACGCGTCCAGAGAAGCCACGGATCATTCAGAGCGTCCATGTAACTCTTCTAGGTTCCCCTGATTTTACCTCCGCCCCGAGCCAAGCCACACCCAGCTGATGGGAGCCGAGCCCAACCGGGAGGGGGAACAATGAAACAGGGCAGGCTAATCCTGGAGGGGAAGGGCTTTCGCTTATACGGAGGCAGCAAATCCAGACGCCTCCGAGCAGCAGTTTGAAGTGAGGATATTCTCTCTTAAACATTTAGAATTAGGTGTGGGAAAAGTCTGCTTTTTGATCAAAAAGTAGTTTCTCTGCTGTGATGCCTCTCCCGGTGGGGTGTGTGTCCAGGGCAACCCATCACCTCTACGCCGACCCCACTGACCGGAGGAGCTTCTTACTGGGGACCTCCCCTGCCGCCCCCCCGCCCCCCTGCCTCACGGCGCTTCCCCCTCCTGAAGGAAACCCTCCTCTGTGGCACTGATCTACTTGTGGCCACACTGCGTGTACTCAGGATCCTTGCTCCCCAGCCCCCCTCGGCTGTGCAGCAGGCTAGACTCTGCCCTCCTCACCCCACGGCCATGGCCGTCCGGGACTGGCCCACACCTGACGGCCTCCGGGAAACCCTCCCTTGGCCCTTGTCTGATTCCCTTTTCTCCCCCAGGCACCCCTCTCGGCCCATGAGCCCCCCCACCAGGTCTCCTCACTCCCACCTCAGCTGCATCCAGATAGGCGGCTCCTTGGAGCGCGTCCTAGGCACCCAGACTCCACGCTTCCGGAATTCAGTCACCTTGTGATGTCACACCAAGTGAGGACCCCGGCAGCCATCCAGGACGCCTTCCTCTGCTCCTCCCCTCCTCCCACCCCATCTCAGGGCCCCGGCTCTCCCCCCACCCCCCCCTCAGCAGCCTCCCCAGCTCCGGGCTGTCCTTTCTCGCATGGAAGCAGCAAGTCTCACTGTCCTCTCCCACGCCGCCCTCCGCCCTGTTGTGAGCGGTCACCCTGGATGACCAGGGCACCCCCCCCCTCACCTTCAGTGACTTACCACGTCCACGGCCCTCCCACCACCTCCCCGTGCACCGGGGCACCCTTCCCTGCAGCCTCGTCCACCGCACCGTGCCTGCGGAACCTCCGCCAGGCTGCCCCTCCTGCCTGGACTGGCACCTCTCGGGAGGCAGGCACCTGCGCTCGCCTGGCCTGCCTGCAGCCTTGTTCTCTTGTAAAACGACAACCCGGGTTTCCTGTCCGCCCCTCTCCCTGCACAAGGACGGAGGGCTCCCCAGCTTGGTGTCCTGCACCCCCAATACCCAGCACGGGATGTAAGTGCGCGAGTTAGCTCTTAGTCTGCAGATGAGGCAGCACAGAGCAGTGCAGCTGAGCCTCAAACTCCAGGTTCTTGCCCTGACTCCATGCTGTTTGCACCCCTCCATAGCTCGCTGTGTCCCTGTGGGGTGGGAGGGGGCAGGCAAGGCTCACCTCGGGGAGGTTACAGTGGGTGACAGGAGCCCCGCTAGAGCCCTAGAGGCCATCCTCGGGGTGGGAGTGAGGGACAGTGGGGGGGCCAGGTGCAGAGGAGTTCAGACCCTCCCAAAACATACTGAAAATAGAAATGAACGGAACAAGGCACCCTGTCATCCCAGCCGAGTGTGGCCGGGGAGGGCCCTGGGCACCCACTCTCTGCCGGACTGCAGGCTGCTCACTTCCTCTTTGCCGCCACCATGTACTTTATCGCGAAGAGCTCCTTGTGTTGGGGTGGCGGTCGAATCTTCAAAGGGCTCAGCCGTGATGACGCTTGTGGTTACTGGAGCAGTCGCTCTGCTTCGTCCTTCCAGAGTGGCCCCAGGGCAGAGCTCTGGTGGACGGAGGCAGGTCCCCCAGGACAGCTCTGGCAGGGATGACTCGCTGGAGAGGGAGATGATGCTGGGTAGGGGGCTTCATCTGTTCTCATGTAACCTCTCTGCCAGCCTTGAGAGGGTCCGGAGAAGGAGCACGACAGAGCTGAGCTGTTCCCCCACATCTGCTTTCCTGCTGCCCCCACGAGCAGGGCTGCGTTGAGCATGCTGGGCAGCTGCCCGCCCCCACCCAGGAGTGGAGCGCCTGGGGTCAAAAGGGAGCCATACCAGACCATCGCCCATCCCCGGCTCCTTTAGCTCTGGGACAACTGGGATCTGAAAGACCCCATGCACGGGTTGGGGACCTGTCCAGAAATCCGTGGTGGCCCTCAGAGGAGGATGAAGCGAACGCCCCACCCCTGTCTTGAGAGCTCCCCCAGCAGCAGAGGCCCCAGACTCCTGCAGGGAAACCGCAGACGTTGCTCCCATCAGCCCCCACTGGAGGGGACTCTGTGTCCTTGCATGAGAGGAGGGGCACGTTACCCATTTCTGATGACCTCCCTCAAGGAAAGAAACCGTATGAGCCAGGAAGGACCGTGGTCGCCACCCTGGCTTTATGGGTGCAGACTAAGGCCCAGAAGTTAGGATACTTGCCCAATACTGCCAGCGAATCAGTAATAGAACGAAAACCCAGTGCTCTTCCCCGGCTGGGCAACAGTGTGGGAGTCTATGCAGGCCCGGTTCTTGTTTGTACTCACATATTAGGACTAGTGGTCCCCTCAAGGGCGGCTGTTAGGTTTACAGGAGACTGCCCTGTGGAAGCACTTAACAGTGCTCGTTAACCATGTGAAAAGCCAGCAGAGAACGAGCTCTGTCTCCACAGCTGGTCTGAACCAGGGGGGAGCAAGCTGGAAGACAAGAGAAAGAAAGGGAGCGCGTCCGTCCCAGCACGTGCAACGGCCGGGGCAGCGGGGGGTGGGCAGGGGCGGCAGCTAGATTTGTATGATCTACTCGGGTGTTGTGGGCCCCTCGACTTCACACCTTCCCTAGTGTTCTCTGAAACCCCCAGTGCCAGTCCTCCCTCTAGACCACGACCAGCAGAACCCTCGCCGGGGCTGGAGCCTCCAGAGGAGTCAAGAGGGAGCGCGGCCACCCCCGCAGCCTGGGCTGACGCCGCTTCAGGCAGCCGGTCGGTTATGCCTAAAACAGCTACTTTTTGACTGCTGTCGCCAACGTGCTTCTGAAAAGTGTCGGAAATCCAAACTTCCCTAGAGGGTGAGCTATTTAAGGAACGTGTTCACGTGTCAGGAGTTAATGGGTTGGCCCGGTGAAGGGTATTAAGGTGGGCACAATTCTGCACGGAGCACTGGGTGCTACATGCGAACAACGAACCATGGAACACTGCATCAAAAAAAAAAAAAATCCGTTTTTAATGCTTATTGGTGCTTCGGCATTAAAAACTACAAATGTCTTATTAAAGTTTCCACTTGAAATGCACAATTTTACCTCATTTTATTGTAAGGAATTGTTACAGAAAATGCAAGTATCAGTATTTGAAAATACATTCCATTACGTGGACTCCAAAGAAACAACGCCGATCAAAGCGTCCTGGTCCTACACACGACACAGAGGTCCCGCACTGAGCACCGCGCCCTGGACGGCTTGGAAGCCCAAGCGACCCACCCGCACGTGCGCCTTCAGTTCCTGCCCCCTGCCGCCCTGCCCCCGGCCTCACGCATCCGCCCCAAGGGGACAAGCCACGAAGTCGAGCGGTCCAGGTGTGTGGTGTGCAACGGGTCAGCGTGTGATTTATACCACAAAGGGACCGTCCGGGCAGTGATCTTCCAGAGAAAGTCGTTAAGGCATCCATGACAACTTCGGGGAATTCATTAAGTGCTTTTATCTCGTCAAGCAGTCAGCTCTTCACAAACTACTTTATTAAATTACAACGAGAATGTGGCTTCCACGCCCCTCCTCTTCCGCGGCCGGCGAGAGCGGTCCCAGCGCCGCAAGAAGCCTTGTGTCAGGAGCCACTTCAGTGCCCGTCGTGGCAGCGTCTCACTCACCTGCCACCTGGGGGCTCGGTGCCCCTTTCGGGTCTAAGCATCCCCCAGCCCCTCCCGAGGCTTTCCCTCCACCTCGCGCCCAAGGGCAAGATCAGCGCGGAATCATTCGGTGGCACGGGCGGGGGCCGCGAGCGGAGCGGGGGCGAACCCGCCGGCCCGCTGGGCTCCGCGCAGGCACGGCCACAAATGACCCGGGGCTGAGGTAGAGGACTAGCGGGCACGGGGAGCCCGCTGCTGGAGAGAGCACGGCAGGCGAGCCTCGACCAAACCGCGGCCTGGGGCGGGCAGCGCGCGGGCAGCAAACTGCAGATGCAACACACGTTCTGATGCGTCACGCGGAGAGACACGCTACCGTCACCGAGAACTAGAAAGTCCTAAGTGGAGGCACTTGAGTTGGGTGGGTGTTCCCGCGCCGGAGGATCGCAGCAAGCCGGCCACTGGGCGCACGCGCAGCGCGGGCCAGAGACCGCGGAGAACGCTGTCCCGCGGGCCGGGCGGTGAGCAGGCGGCAGGCAGGGCTGACGCCGCGCCACAACGTTCGCGGGTGCACACACCGCGTTTCGGAAAGTTTATTCCTCACACCTGGCAGCTCTGAATAAAACTGAGATTCCGCTACTAGTGTTTAAGCTACGGATTAAACTGTAACGACAACAGCCCTGCGGTTCCACAGCGCGTCGAGGGCCAGCAAGGGCGGTGCCGGGGGGGGTCCCACGGGCAGCCGCACGCAGCCCAGCGAGCACCCCCGCGGCCCCGGAGGCCCCCCGAGGCTGTGCAAAGGGGCCCCGTCTACACGTGCAAGGGCGCAGCCTGAAGCCGGCGCAGAACTCACAAAATGCTCCCCCGTTCCGTGGCTGCTCGGTACCACAGCCGTCCCTGGACTCCGTGAAGAAACAGAAGCTGGACTCGACATATTCTAAACACGCCTTTGAAGATTTTTAAGTGCAATAAGAGGCAAGATTGTTACTAAAACTGGTAAAGGCAGGGCGGGAGCTAGACCGTCAGCCTCACCCCTGATGGACTTCCCGTCCTCCGCGCTCCACCATGAACATGGAAAGAGCGAGTATAAAAGTACCAACTACACAACCAGGCCACCTCACGAAGCCCTGCTTCCTCGTGGCCCCGTCAGGCACCAGAAAACAGAAGCTGACCACAGGCCTCACGTAGGCAAGTGTCTGCCAAGACCAGCTGTTCCTCTGTAAAAAGTCTATAGGAAATGTGACACAGACTTAGGGGACTGGGGAACTCTTCTAATTTTTTCTTTTAAACATTGTGCACAAGCTCGTATTAACATAGAAAGCTTATATATTTCATAAATCACAGAAATATTAAAAAGTAGCACTCTGGTTTATCAGCTCATTTTACACACACATTTAGGCAACAAAATGTATAAATCTACAGCAACAGAAAGAACATACTACCCAAAAAAATATTTAGTCCCTTTACACATATACCCATACTTCATTAATGCAAAAACAATGTAGTGGTTGTTAAATGTCTGAAAAATCAGCATTACGATCGAGACTGTTAATCTCTGAGAGTAACTTAGGAACACACATGTTCATCTCAGGGTTTCTTTCTTTAAAGCAGTGCTAGAAGTTTCTCTTTAAATGTACATTTTTAAAAAACTGGCCAAACCTTCCAAGGGAGACGTTCAGCGCCACAGGGTTAGCATACGCACTAGCAGCGACTAGGGCCAGGAGGCTCTGGGGCCTCATTCCGCGGACGAGCCAGCGTGTTCCCAACCGGCTCGCACCTGCTAGGCGGGGCAAGCCCCTGGGAACTCGGGATTCCTGCACCTGCCGGCCTGAGGCTGCACGATCCCCTCCCCACCGCTGGGCCCGGGTGACACTCTTGCTCCCAGGGCCACTCCGCAGCTCCCTGTGCACTGAGGTCCCATCAGAGCTGATCGTCAGAATCACTAATGCGTGGATGTGTGAGGCTACTTCTGAATGTGGATTTTTAAATCGGAATCAGCCATAATGCAGCTATGTTTTTTAAAAAGTGCAGCACAATCAAAGTGCACCTCCACCACCATGCCCCGGTGGCAGAGCGAGGCCTCCACAGACAGGACACAGCCAGACGAGAGAACGAGACGCTGCACTCCTGAACCCAGGAGCGTGAAGACGGGTAAAGCTTTCAGTTGTTAAGGCCACGATTTTTCAGCTCTCATCTTTGAACCCTGTTTAGAAAGATTTCACCTTTTTTAAAGGGGCAGCTCACTAAAAAAATCTCAGCTTAGGTTAAAAAAAAAAAAAAAAGGACTTCGGGCAAGAGTATCCTATGATCTTTATGAAAACGCTGCGCACTGCCACTTACCCAGAGTGAAGACAGCGCTCACCGAGCGGCCAGACGCCCGCCTCCCCCTGCGGGGCTCTGACCGCCCGTCCGCCCGCCCGCGCAGGAAGACCACGGCAATGGTCGACACGGACACTAAGCTACTGGGAGGGGACTGGTTTTCCGAGTGTCCTCGTAAGTTGCAAGCAGACTGGGGTCCAACTCCTGTCACAGGTGCCACTGAGGCGACAAGGCCTGCCCCCCCGAGTCATCCAGTGACCTCGATCCCAGCCGGACACACGGACAACCCACCGGATCCTTGAGATGGGGTCAATCACACCGGGGTCCTTAATCGCTCAGTCTGTTCCGCAGGAAGACGGGCCGGCAACCCCTGCTCTGGGTGGTCGGGCTGGAGAGCAGAACAGCTGCTGGGGAGGCGACCGGGGTGTGGCCTGGGGGCCCCCTAAGAGACCCCCCCCAGAGTCAGTACATCAAAGCAAATGTTGCAAACTCGCACGGGCTTGTTCAGGTCAAACTTTATAATAGGAATCTCCTTGGTCGAGCATTTATGGCAAAGAAGGCGTCCGCAGTGGCGGCTGTGGAAGCAAAGCAAGGGGGTGTGAGGGGGGCCTCCAGCAGCCCCGGCGGCGCCCACCAACCCGCGTCCCACCGCGTCAGTGCGAACGCGATCCTGGCCTGCGGGCACGTCACAGGGCTGGCGGGGAAGGCTCTTCAGGATCGAGCGCCCCTCGGCGACAGCCAAGGAAGGGCTCTTTCTGCCGGGGCCCGGGGCCCGGCTCCTCGGCTCTCGGGAGGGCAGGCCCCACCCTCCCCACGCACCGCCTGCCACGGCATCGCCCCACCTGCTCAGGCTCCGCGCGGGGCCCTGGCGGGGTCACGGCTCCTCGCGGAGAAAGGCGGAAGCAGGGACGGGCAGCAGTGCCATCGCCCCCTGGCGAGCAGCCCCGGGGCCTTACCAGTGATGTTTGCGAGTCGTGACTCCAAACTTGGCGGCACACTCGTAACAGGTGGACCCGTCGCACCACGGAGGCTCCTTGGACAGCATGTCTGCGAGGACAGGCGGAGAGAACCCGTCCCCATCAGCGACCGTGCCAGGTGGCCCGGGGGCCATCGCAGTGACACGTGGGCGCAAAGGCAACGCGCTCTGAGCCGCCAGGGAAAGCGTACTGCGGAGGTCCTGGAGCCCCAGCACTTGCCAGGAGGGCTGCGGCAGGAGGGGTGGTGCTCGAGGCGTCCGTGGGGGACACGGGGGGTCAGGGGCGGCCAGACCGGGAGGCCCACCGGGAGAGACCGGCGGCCGGGGAGACCGGCGGGGGCTGCACGGCGAGGGGCCCGTGGGGGAGGAGCAGGTCTGCGAGAGCGGGTGGCTGCAAAGGTGGCGGAGGGGCCGGGTCTGTGGCATGGGCGCCGGCAGAAGGGGCAGGAGCGCCGAGCCGGGGCGGGTGAGGGCTCGGTGCGAGCTGCGGAGCCCTCGGGCTGGGAGCGATCAGCACGGGTAGCAGAACCACGCCAGCCCTCCGCCAGCCCTCCGCCACTCGCAAGTGCTCGGCCCGCGCACGCCGCTGAGCTCACGGGGAGGGGGCAGCGCGCGACCGGTCTCTGCCAGCACTTTCCACACCGGCGCCCAGGAGGCGGCGCCCGTTCCGAGCTCTGAGAGGGCGGCCCACGTGCACGGCAAACAGCGCTCCGCTGCGTGGCGCGCGGGGACGCGGGCCACGTCACCCACGCCAACGTCACGGAGCTGCGAGGAGCCTGGGAGCGCGTGCCTCTGCCCAGACTCTGGCCCAGTAACGCCGTGCCGCTGCCACCTCGGCGGGGACGCAGCGACACTGGCAAACACAAGACCACCCAGAGTGCACGCTCCTCACTACAGAAGGAACGCAGGACGGGTCAGTGGGGCAGAGGCAGAGGGCTGTCCCGAAGGACGCAGAGCCTGCATCGGTGGAAGGATGAGGGATGTGCAGAGAAGCTGCCGGGGGCCGAGCAAGGGTGACCTGCCCCCACGAACAGACGCATTTGTGAGTTTACGGATCGCGGTGGGACCGGGGGGCGGACAGGGCCCCGCGCGCTCTGGAGACTGCTCACGGCTCCTCTCGCAGCACAGCCCTCACGGCAAGTCCTACACGGGGCCAGGGAGACCGCGGGTGCGTTCTGGGGTTCCGAGGTCACCAGGACATCTGAACGACCCACACCGTGACTGTGCCTGCCCTGCAGGGGCAGGAAGGAGCCACTCACCTAACAGTCTGAACAGAAGCTGCTTGGTGGCAACCTGGTAGTTGAAGATGTTGACTCCCTGGTTATTGCTGACCCCAAGGCGAGCCCCGGAGCGGACGACGGCACGGCACAGGTTGGCGTTCCCTTTCATGTATGCCAAGAGCAGCACTGGAAAACAAAACCACAGGCAGGGCTCCTTCCCACCCGGGCCCAGCTGAGGGCAGGACAGGCCCTGACCGCGTGTGTCGGCAAGGTCCCCACGCACACTCTGGGGCGACGTCCACGGGAGATGCAGCTTTGCCCGGCTGAGGGCCACCGAGCGCTCTGCTCCAAGAGAAGTGAGCGGGGGCCACACGCTGAAGAGAACATTGGCATGAGCACAGGGAGTCAAAGCTCTCTCGTCACCTAAAGACCGGTGACGTGTGTACACAGGGGGAGAAGCATCAGCACGCTCGTCCTCCAGAAGTCCTTCCACCCCAGGGAAGCCTCTTGTGTGCAGGCACCGGCCCCACCGGCCCCGTGGGCGCCCAGGCTCCGGCTGGGCCTGCTGCTGGCCCCTCGCTTCCCGCCCCGGCACCCTGCGTTTAAATCCTTTCACTTCGTTCTCTGAACGGTGCAGTCGGACAGGGGTCACTTCACACGAGGAAAGAGGCACAGAGAGGATACAAAATTACCCAGTGTCACCACCCAGAACAGGACAGAGCCAGGCACCAGGACCCAGGCCTGGGTACTGGAAGCCTGAGGAGAAGCGCCTGCCTGCCCGTCGCCGGCTCCTGGACAGCGGCCTGCGTGGCAGCGGGTGCTGGGCCCGCAGCTCACTCCCGCGGCCGACTGCCTCGGGCTCAGGCTCATCACAACACATTCATGGGGCGAGACCAAGAACGAGGACAGAATACTTGGTGCCGCCAAGGTTCGGGACGCTCCTGGGAGACTACACCGCTGCCAAAGGCCGAGGCGGCTCTGTTTGGCGGGAGGGAGAACGCACGGGAACACGGCAGCAGCACAAGGCTCCGGGGCCCCGGACTGGGAACAGAGAGATGTGGGTTTCACCTCTGTTTCCCTACTTGAAAAATGGGGACACGCTACCTGCACTGCTGACAAGAATACAAATGCAAGAATCCATCACAAACGTGGTGACAGCTACACGAATTAACGCCGTGACCGTGGGCAGCCGAGCAGCACCACGGGAGGGGCCTCAGTAAGACGCCCGCCCCACTCGGTGTGCAACTGGCCACGTTTTCAAAGCCCATCAACACACACGGCAGCATTCCCTCCTCCTGAGGCGCGTGCAGGGACAGACAAAGGGGAGAGGAGGACCGAAAACACAGACGGGCAGGCGTGCGGACAGGAGTATATGGCCTGGGAGGGGAGCTCTAGACGCTTCCGACGTGTGTGTGTCCCAGTGAGACACTGGAGCGCCGTGGCGGCACCGACAACAGATGCTCCGAGAACCCCGCCCAACGCGCCAGGCGGAGCGCCCTTCGAGGGTGGCATGTGCGCCCGGGCTCTTGTCCTTCCGGGAAGCGGGAGCCCAGCGAGACGGGACATCCTCGCAGGCTGACGTACCTGTGTTTCCTTCCGCGTCCGGTTTATCCAGAGGGTACTCAGGCATGCACTCCAGGAACAGCTCGAAGATGGTTGCCGCGTTCTCTCTGCCATACTGCCCCAGGATGTGCAGTGGTGACTGGCCTCTGACGAAGCAAGTGGGAAAAGCTGGGTTACAAGTCAGCCACAGTCCCCACGCACAGAAGATGTAACCTGAACTCTGTGATGCCGGATAAATTTAAGGACACCTAGTAGGTCACAGAAGTTTTTCCACAAACTATTTTTCAAAAAGAAACATTCCGAGGTACCAAAATTGGTCAAGTGCCCTAGTGGCCAGTGACTTTTTTTTTTTCATTATGTTACGTTAGTCACCATACAGTACATTAGTTTTTGATGTACTGATCCACGATCCACTCCTCTCGTGTAACACCCAGTGCTCCATGCAGTATGTGCCCTCCTTAATATCCATCACCGGGCTAACCCATCCTCCCACCCCCCTCCCCTCTAAAACCCTGTTTGTTTCTCAGAGTCCATAGTCTCTCATGGTTCATCTCTCCCTCCGATGTC